TTGTTATATAACTTGTATTTTCCATGAAGCAACTTCTCTCTCTCTCTCTCTCTCTCTCTCTCTCTCTCTCTCTCTCTCTCTCTCATTTGTGTGTATGGCACATCTGTGGGTGCCCACAGAGTTAAGAAGAAGGCATTGGATGCCCTGGAACTGGAGTTTCAGGTGGTTGTAAGCTGCCTGACATGAATGCTGGGGACTGACCTCAGGTGCTCTGGAAGAACAGCAAGTACTCTTAACTGCTGAGTCATCTCTTCAGCCCCTATTTATTTATTTTGTATGTGTGTTGTCACATTTGTATGTACCATGTTCCGAATGTGTAAGTTGGAGGACAACTTGTGGGAGTCATTTCTCTGCACTGTATGGGTCCTGGGGTTCAAACTCAAGTTGTCAGGCTTGGAGGCAAGTGCTTTTACCTACTGAGTCATCTTGTCTGCCCAGATTTTGTTATTCTATTTTTTTGTGTAGTGTTGTTTATGTATGTGATAGGTACACATGTGTGTGCATGCATGTGGAGGCCTGAAGTTGCCTCCAGGTGTATTTCCTCAGTTGCTCTACTTATTTATTTATTTATTTATTTATTTATTTATTTATTTTATTTATTTATTTACTTTTTGATGAGATAGTGTCTCTCACCAAACCTGAAGTTCATTGATTTGTCTAGACTGGCTGGCCAGTGAGCTTCAGGGATCTACCTCTCTTTCTTGTCATTGCCCTGAACCCTGGAGTTAGAAGGCATGTGTTTTGAGACTTTTTACGTGGTTTCTGGGGATCTGAACTCAGGTACTTGTGCTTGCCCACTAAACGTGCTACCAGCTGACAGTCCTGTCCTTAATTTCTTTTAACATTTATTCGTTTGTTTGTTTCTTGTGTGTATGTTTGTAGGTATGCTTATGCCATGGTGTGCTTGTGGAAGTTGGAGGACAACTTGCTAGAGTCAGTTCTTTCTTTCCATCATGTGGGTCCTGGGGCTTGAACTCCAGGGTCTTGTGTGTCAGGCTTTGCAGCAAGTGCCTTTACCTGCTGAACTGTCTCCCTGGCACCCTGCCTTTTAATTTTTAATCTTACTCCGTTTCTGCTTGGGAAGAAGGTCCTTGCTTGAAAGCTAGATGTGGCCAGCAAAGGAGCATGCCATGCACGATTAATGGAAGCCCAGGGCAGAGTTGGGGAGGAGAGCTAGCATCCCACCTCATTGGGGAAAATCTGGCTGTGGGCTGAGGATTAATGACACAGCGTTTTAGACATGGGTCAAAGTGAGCCTGCAGGACAGCGTCTCATAGACACCTGTAGGCTGAGACCCAAGGTATTAAATAATGTTGAGTCATCAAAGGGGAGCTGCTAAATATTTTATTGATACCTGTACAACTGTGCTGTAGCACACGTGTTTAAATCTTTAAAAATCCTCTCCTTAAACTAGTGTATTGGGGGGGCAATGGGGGACAAGACCTCATTCTGTAGCCTAGACAAGCTTTGAGCTCATGGCAGTCCCCCTACCTCAGCCTCCAAAGTGCTGGAATTATAGACTTACACTGCCATGCCAGGCTGCAACAAAGTCTCTTAGGGTTGGATTTTTCCCCCTCTCAGATGGAGTTGCCAGTGCTCAGTATGGCTGTGTATTAGAACCACTTGGGACTCTTTGAAAGTTGTATTACAGGTCACACACAGCCTTTCAGATCGGTTTGGGAAGGAGCTCAACATCAGACTTTTTAAGCTCCCATTGAGAGGGGCTGGAGAGATAACTCAGTGATTAAGAAAGAGCACTGGCTCCTCTTGCAGAAGACTCAGGTTCAATTCCCAACACCCTCTTCTGGCCTCCGTGGGCATTGCATGACACTGTGCACTTATACATGCAGGCAATACACTCATACACATAAAATAATAAATAAAAAAATTAAAAAGTCCCCATTGAGGACTGGAGAGATGTCTCTGTGGTAAAGAGCACTGGCTGCTCTTAAAAAAGAGCCTAGTTCAGTGCCCATCACCCACATGGCAGCTAACAGCCGTTTGCAACTCCAAGGAATCCAAGGCCCTCTTCTGGCCTCCAAGGGCACCTGCACACATGGCACACACACACAGACACACACACACACACAGAGCTTCTGTCAGTTCTAACAAACAGCTAATTTTCTCTCATGTGGAATACACTAATGATATACAAGGTTTTCTGATTGAAAAATGTATATAAAAGAACATAGTGCAGAAACAGCATGCTAAAGCTATTGGTTGAATTTGAATCTAATACCCAAAGTACACTGATGTGAGGGAAGCTGTGTGGTCTTCTGCCACCCTCCCCACAAAATGCCATCAAGTTTGTGTGTTTGTTTGAGACAGGTTCTCCCTATAGCCCCAGCTGACCTAGAAATTGCTATGTGTAGACCAGGCTGGCCTCCATCTCACAGAGATGCCTGCCTCTGCCTGGGATTAAAGGCGTGCACCACCATGGCTGGCACACCATCAAGTATTTTAGTAGCAGTTCAGTGCAGCATGCCTGTCAGTGCAGCTCTCCAGCTTCTAGAATGCATCATATGGTGTTAATAAATGTCCCTACAGGTAAAATGCTTGTGGAACCCTTGGTCCTCTGGCCATCTTTTCCCTGCCATCACCATGACAGCAGGGGTAATGGTGACAGAATTTAGGTGCCACATGAGTTCCCATAATTGTGGCTGTTTCCCAAAATGCAACACTGGCTAGGGTTTGTTTTTGACATATAATACCTTGCAATTTTTCAAAGAGCATTAAAATTTGGTATTTTGTGCCATAATCTACCACACTCCTTGATATTTTCTAAATAAATAGCACACGTTACCATCAATATAGAAATGTTCCCCTGTGGTGATGTACCAGTCTATTCATGGTGCCAGAAGTCATGTGATCTGTAGAGATGAAAACTTAAAAAAAAATTTTTTTTTGTTTTCCTAATGTGCTCTTTATATGCTAAAAATTCTGAAATTCGGTGACTTGGATATTTAGTTCCTGGGCACTGTTTGCTGGGCTGTGCTTTGGCAGTGTGGCATTTAAGCCCAGTGGTCCCTACAGCAAGGCCACATGTCCCTAGGAGAAAACAAATGGAGTAACCTTGTACAAATAAAAGGGCCCCCCTCCCATTTCAAGTAGGTGCTCCATTCTGAATATGTCAGTCTTATTTGCCTGACTCTTTCCTCCCTTCATCATTGGTGTGTGTGTGTGTGTGTGTGTGTGTGTGTGTGTGTATGTGTGTGTGTGTATACACGTGGGTGTGGGTGCCCACAGAGGCCAGAAGAGGGCACTGGATTCCCTGGAGCTGGAGTTACAGGTGCTTGCAAGGGGCCATGTAGGTGCTGTGACCTGAGCTTGGGTCCTTTGCAAATGCTCTTTATTGCTGAGCCATCTCTCCAGCTGCTGGGGTGTGTGTGTGTTTCTGTTAGGGGAAAAAGTCACTCTAAAAGTAATTGTTTCTGTTTGAGGTTATGGGTCAGATATAGACTATCCCTGAGCCTGGGTTCCTTTAGCTGTGAGAAGGTATATATGTCCATCTACAGGGACTGAGAAAGAAGTTAATTGTAAACATGGAGGCAATAAAACAATCTTAGAAAGAGACAGACAACTTTGAATCTAGGGAGCTATGCATATCACAGGGGAAAACTGGGTTCCCAACCCCTGGAATGAAGTTCCTCTAAGAACGTTAATGATTTTTTAAAACAAACAAAACAAAACTTTGTGCTTTAGTTCAGTTCCTGAAAAAGAAACTTGCCGGGCTTTCTCCCTACCCCTGGCTCCTGAGGAGGAACTCCTGTGAGGAGGGACTGTCCGCCCCCTCAGCTGTCCCCTCCCCTCTCTTCCTGCTCCCTCTGGCGCACTTGAGCCTGAGCCTGTGCAGGGCTGCAGTGAGCATGCTCGGCCCCCCTGCCAGCAGAGGAAGCTGCTTTACATACGAGTCATACCACGCATAGCCAGCATGTCCGCGCAGTCAACTTGCAGCGGGATGTGAGGAGAGCGCGCCTTTGTCCTCGGAAATGTGCTTCGTGTTTTCCTTTTTGACTACTTTTTCATCCCGAGACAGACTTGTAAGACTTCTGAAATGATTTTCTAAAGCTGGATCGAGGCTATAATACAGTTACTGTGTTCCAATCAGCCCTTGAAGGGTTTGTGTGAGTCTGATTTTTGTGTGTATGTATTTTTTAAAAACAAAAACCCTTCACGTACTTTGTTTCGCCCTTCTGAGGCTGGGTCTCAGTGCTGGAGAAGTCTGAGAGCCTGGAGCTACTCAGCTGCGGTTGAATTTTGAAACTCTCTTTGGGGGTGAAAGCAAAGAGCTGGTCTTCTTTGCTAGCCCGATAAATGCTGTTTATGAAGATGGACCTGCTCAACTACCAATACTTGGACAAGATGAACAACAATATCGGCGTTCTGTGCTACGAAGGTAGATGTTCTAGAATCTACTTCCTTTGGCTTTTGTAATGGCCCTTCCTGCTGTTTGGGTTCTGATGGCCTTCTGAGCGTTTTGTTCTCTTTCTTGGGACTGTGGAGGGCTCTGGGAGCCCAGTGATTAGCATGTACACTTCAGTACAGAGTTTGTTGGGGCCTGGTGGGGAGGGTATCCGGGCCTGCAGGAGCCTGAGGTCAAGAGATACATTGTGAAAAGTTTGCTCTGTGCTTGCAACATACTAACAAGATCTTTACACTTTAAGCTCTTTCTTTATGGTCTCCCTTGGCATCTGGTGTAAGGGAGGAACTTGTAGAACTCTAGTAGAAGTTAAGCATGTCGGTGCTGGGTTGCAGGGGGAGGACCTTCCATACTTATTTTTAAACCTCCCACTGTGTACAGTAGTCCAGTATGTGCTCTAGCGCTGTAGACTTTTGTGTGGAGGAGGAACAGCAGCTCACAATGAGTTTTTGTTTTCCGGGGCCATTGTCTTAGACAGCTGAGAGTATTTCCTGCTGGGTCTGGGGGGCTGGCAGACGGGTTGGGGGAGCCCAGGCCCTTTGTCTGTGCCGGGTTTCCTGTGCTGGGCTATCGGAGAGAGACAGGCTCCCTGCAGCCCAGCCAATTACACAACACAGAGACCAGAAAACTAGAGCTAAAAAGTTCAAAACACCCCGACCCCATAGTTCTCCTGGCCTGCTTACCACGGCCCTGGTAGCTTCCCCACTGCCTTGGAAGTTCGTAAGACAGAAAATGTTATTTTCATCTTTTGGAACATTACCTACGTGCGATTTGAGACCAGGGTGATGGCCTGGGGTTACACAGGCCACCGCGCTAGGGGGAACTCAGACTGGCAGGGAGAGTCTTTTTTGTTAAAAGCACATCTGAATCCAGAGATGTCTTTCTGATGGGGGAGGAGTTCGTATTTTCTCCCATAGGAAGCTGGGTTGTTTTAATTTTTTTTCTTGGACAAAACTTGAAGAGGTGCAGACTTGTGTTGTTGGTGTAAAAATCCCAGGTCTGTTCTTTAGCAGTTGAAAACTTACTCTTTTCCCCCTTCAGAAGGTTTGTTAATGCCTTTTTCTTTTTAATAAATTAACTGTGGATCAGGATCTCATATTTAAGGTTTTCTGAAAGGGATATGACTATTTTTACAAGTTCCAGTTACTAGAACTTTGCTGAGCCGCTCCCTTTGCCTCTTCTACATGAAGTGGTGTCTTGATTTCTGAACCCCCTTGATTCAAAGGCAGGATTCTTCAGAAGTCACCAGCTGCAGAAGAATTGCTTGTTTCCGGTGGAATTCATGTATTGTTTTTTTTTTTTTTTTAACTTACTATCCCCCCCACTCAACAAGAAGTGAAACTTTTAAGACAATTTCTTTGTCAGCAAGTAATCTGTTATTTTTAAAAACAAAACAGGACACACGGGCCAGTGAGCACAGAGTGAAGATCCCTAGCAAACTGGTACCATTTTAATTTTTTGCTAATGTCTGGGATTGGTCACAGAAAGAACTTTTGGAAGCTCCTGAGGGTGGATGTGATTGCGTTTTAAGTCATCACACACAGGAGTCGTTGTTAACCTTCTTTACTGTTGGAAGGAAGAACTTCGATTTTGAAAGTTGAGTGGGTCTGTGGGATCGTAGGCTATCGTCTGTTTGGTTTAAACATCTGCTTCTATTTTCCTTATTATGAAAGGTAATATTATTTTAACACCAAAATAAATACACAGGAAATGAAGAGAAGCACAGCAAAACTCAAGTGGCATTCAGAGTGAGTTGTTTGTGTCTACACCACACACATCTGCTCACAACTGCCAGGGCTGTTGGGAAGATGGGCATAAATCATACATGGGGTTTTCTTCTGTAAGAAAAGTTGGAATAGTTCTTTTAAATCCAGCACACTGCAGTGATTTGTTTTGAATGTACCAGCTCCCCAGCATGCCAGGGCAGTTATGTGGAACACGGAAAGATAGGTAGGCAGCATTTGATTCCCTTTGGGGCACAGGCCAGCTTCCTGCCTGTTGAAAGGGGACACTTCAGTGTTTGCCTTGTTAGCTTTGGGGGTGAAGGTGTGGGGGTATTCTTATTCCCCCAGGTTGGTGAGACCACAGGCATTAGTTGTGTCAGGCACAGTTCTCCCCCAGACAAACTGTATCTTCGCCATCTTCCTTCACTTGCTCAGCAGCTGCCGCACACAGGGGTCTCAGCCAGTTACCCCAGACCACACTAGGTTCCCTGGATCTCACATTGGAACCCCCTCTAGGTTGTTCCCCCTGCTTGTTTTGGGGTGCTCTTGGGATACAACCCACAGTACTGGGCTAAGCATATTCCCTCCCACTGAGCCACACTTGTAGCCCAGACCTGTTCTAAATGGCTGACGTCACGCCCTGCGTGGTAACTGTGTCCTGTACCTGTCTCACCATACTGGTTTCCAAGGAGAGTTAAGTGAATAAAGAAAGGAAAAATATCCGTAATATAGGTTGTGGGGAGGGGAGCTGTTGAGACAGAAAAAGAATCTATCAAACCTGTGGACTGATCACCTGCAATAATGACAAGGGATATAGCGGATGCTGCGCTGATGTGTTCAGAAGTCTGCTTAAATCCACTCCACTCACAGTTCCTGCCTCATCCTTCTGATGATCCGGTTATACCAACAGGAAGCCCAGTTTTGCCTCTTGTCTCCATAGGTCAACTCCAACCCTCTCTTACCTTCCCCTCTGAGCTCCCAGGCATACCCCACTAGGAGGTAGGAACCCTCATGAAGGCAGCACATCTGTAGTGGTGTCTATTGCAACCCCAGGTCCTTGCTCAGGGCCTTCTAGTGCTCCAGGAAGTGGTTTAAGATGAAGCTCAACTCAGCAACAGGAAAGTCAGTGCAGGCTCTGCAGTGGTCACTGTGACCACTTCTGTATAAGTTAGCCTTTAATTACAGACTGCCTTGTATTCTCTAACTCATTACCACAGAACTAACCAGAGCCTCAAACAACATCTAATACCTTCTCTTGTTTTGGCCAGAGAAACAGAGGCCCAGAGTTTCTTTGTTCCTCTTGATTCAGGAGTGTTGCTGTAGAACCGAGGTTGGAGCCCAGGGGTTTTTACTGTTCCATGGGCCTCCTCCCCACATTACCAGTCCAGAGTTACTATGTGTCTTGTTCCAGTTCACCTCCTGAATTAATTATTAGCTCCTCATATTCGGGATTGTCCTTGGGATATGAATGGTGCCAGCCAGGGGACCACATCCCTGCTTGCAGTGCATTCCTGACCCCATCAGCACTGCCCTGATGTCACCCTGGATCCAAGTTCTAAGACTGCTCCATGTCCGTGGACAAGTAGTGAGGAGAGCTGCAGGTGACCAGCCTTCTGACATTTTCTCTCCTTGCCACTGTAGGATGTGGGGTGGGGGCAGGGAGGAGACCCTGGCTAGAGGCCAGGTCACAGAGAGTGAGTCCCCCAGGGAGCAGAGTGGACGATGTCATTTCTCAAGATGGCTGACAGCCGTATTTATATAATTACTTGGTTCTGAAACTCAGGGTCCTAATAAATGTGCTCATGGTTGGCTGTGGCTGTAAGCTGCTGTTAGTGATACTTTAATTATGGGTTAAGAATCATTAGTGTGTAATTTGGTAGAAGAATTCTCTTCTTTTAATTTAACTGATTTTATATTGGGAGAAATTATGGATAAATTGCATATTGATAGGCTTAAAGCTTAAGAGAAGGTATTCAAGTTCCTAAGGGTTTAGAACTGTTCACTGTTTTAGAACAAAAATATCACTTGTTTCACCACAGGCTGCATTCAGAACCATTTTCCTGGACCGAAAAGGAACATACATACATACACTCTGCCCAGCAGAGTGAGGCCCTGGGAGCCTAGGCACGGGATCTTTCTTGTTTCCTGCCAGTCTACCAGCAATAGGTTATGGAGGCCTGGCCCCATTGCTCTTTGTCTAAGGAACTCAGAAGCACCAGGAAGGTCTGGAGCCTTGGGTGCTGTTAAGGTGAAAAGGCCACAGGGCCAGCCTGTGTCCCATGCTGTTCCCTAGCCCTGCACACAGATCAGATGATGTGGGCTTGGTTTGGGATGTGTCCTGTAGTGGGACATCTGTAACTATTTTACTGTGGAAATCCATTCCAGGTTAGCATTTTGAGGGGTGGTGTACGAATAGAAGAGTGGGAGGAGCTTGATCTAGAAGCCCAGGTGAGCGCAGAGCACTTCGGTGTTTGTTTCTCCCAGTTACAGCTTGTGGGAAGAAGGTGTGATTAGACCCTCCTTCCTTCCAGCTCCGCGCCCATATTTCTCAACCTCCTTCTGGAAGGATTGTTTGACTTGGCTGTTTATCTCTGGGAGGCAGCATTTGGCTTATGGTAGAAGGCGGAGTCCTTTTCCTTTCCTTGTGTTCCTAGGGTGCCTGGATTTATTGCTGTGAAGGAGGTGGGTATTTTTGTCATTATTGTTGCTTTGTTTTGCTTTTAAACTGGAGAGATGGCTCAGCAGTTAAGAGCACTGACTGCTCTCGCAGAGGACCCGGGTTCAATTACCAGCACCCACATGGCAGCTAACAACTTTCTATAACTCCAGTTTCAGGGAATCTGACTCCACCTTCTGATCTCCTTGGGCACTGCACAACACGGGTGCACTTATACACATGCAAGCCATACACTCATACACATAAAATATAAAGTAAAGTAAAATATAAAGTAAAAGGAGCTTGCTACCGCCTGTGATCTGAGACCTGGGACCTACATGGTGGAAGAAGAGAACTGACTCCCTCTAGTTGTTCTCTCCCCTCCCTACATGCCCTGGCACAGGTGTGCCCCCCCCCCAAAAAAATAGGTGTAAAAGGAAAAAAAATCCCTGTGGTGTATGGGGAGCATCAGAGCCTCTCTGTGCAATTTAGTTCTGCCAGAACACTGCAGAAACTGGGTTTAGTTCTGAAGAAATTAGACCCAGATTTAGCTCTTTGCTGGAACACAAATAGATAAAAATGTCTTCCCAGGGAAT